AATCAATCAATTCAAATAATGGTAAATTCCATCTCAAGAGACCGAGTACAACAATGATATTTAGTTTTTGGATAGAAATACCAACTTGTAAGTGATACTCTTGGTATACTAAACAAATATTGACAATAAATTATGTCAAACAATAAATCTATCTTTAGATCAATTTATTATTTATATAAAAAAATTTAAAATTGTCACATATTTATTACCACACGAGTCATGTAATTCAGTCAAATATTTACATTCATTTGAACTGATTAATATCTACATAAATTACATACACACAACCTTCCCAATATTTCATATAAAATAATCTAAACAAGAGAGACCACTTTGGTAACATAATGTTTCAACTAATCTATTTTGGAAAATTAGTAATCCGAGAGAGATTTTAATCTCAAGATTTGAATCTTAATTGTTAGTTCCTTACCGTATAAATTTATTATTTACTTTCTTTTGTTTTTAAAAATATGGATAGAAATTTGACGGCAGTTTTTGAGCGCCGTAGTGCTTGGACGTGGCGCTACAGCATCGTGATTTCCATTTTGACCCAATTTTTTTCGAAAAATTCCCAAAAATCCAAAATTTTGAAATTTAGGGCCAAAAAAATTCGCATCCTAAATTGAAAAATTCAAATTATGGATTTCAACCTTAAAATTCTTTCATTAATCTCAATGGTTTAACATGAATTGGCTCTAGTACCGCTTGTTGAATATTTACGAAACTTAAACTCTATAAAATTTCATGAATTGCCAAAATCTCAAAATCAAATCACCAAGAGAATTAATTGATGCAAAACTTGCATTGATCCATTGATTTGAATCTTGAAACTTGAACTTACAATCTCTTTAATCGTGAGTTCTCGTTCTTTAATCCCGATTACCTCAATTCCTTCTTTTTGATTCTTGATTGTTGATCTTGATCGTGGGTATTGAATTTTCTTCTTCAATATGTTTTCTTTTATATTATTGTGTTAATGAAATGACACAAAGAATGAGAGTTGCATATGAATTGAAGCTTATTTTCAACTACACATTCTCACAACAACATATTTTGCACATAAATTGAAATCTTTTCTTACTTTTTAACTGTATATTCTCAAAAAATTTACTATTACAAAAATTATTTTCTCTCAATAATAGGCATCAAACGAGGGCCATAATAACTAATTAAGTATTGAGAATATAATTTAAAAATATTTCTTCAGAGTTGACCTAAAATCAAATAAAAGAATTTGTGGAGGCAATTTAACAGGGGCGAAAGAGAGAGGAAACAAAAGACAAATACTATTTCTCAAACAGTTATGATGTATTTTGTTCGCTGTTTTCAGTTTTCAATTTTGCAAAATATTCAAAATTTATTAGGCCTGAAATTTCTAAAAATGCATTTTCGAAGATAAGGTTAAACTTGTAACTAAAAAATCAAATGCATTTGTGAAATTTGTGAAAACATTCAAAACATGGAAAACAAGTATTTAAGTAAAATTTTATCTAGGGGTGTTTAAGCCTCATTATTTTTGAAGAATATATTTTGAAATAGTAAATTAATGGAGAATTTGTGATTAAAAAGGAAGTAATATTTTTTATTTGCGTGTAATATTATTTAATTGAAGAATGTGCCGTTGAAAAGAAAATAAAGAAAAATATATTTTGGGAAAAATAGGAATCAAACGTCCCCTTAAATAAAATTTTAAAAATAAAAAAATCTAAAAAACAAAAATAAAAATAAAAAATTCTAGAAAAAAATCTAACAAAATAAAAATTAATAAATAAATTATAAGAAATATTTAAAAAAAAAATAGAATGCAAATTTCTAAAAAAATTGTAAAAAAGTAAAAATAAAAATAGTTCAAGCCATTGTTTGATTCCCATTATTTTTAAAATACATTTTTCGCTCTTTTCTATTCAACCACACATTTTATATTACACGCAAACCCAAATTTTTTTCTTATTTTTTAATCACACATCCTTCATTAATCAACTAATCCAAAATGCATTTTTACAATAAAATGGGGCTCAAACAGGCTCTTAATGATTATTTACATAAAAAAATCTAAAGATATATATTTAAATAAATACAGATTAAAATATTCTCAATCTCCGTTGTTGATTTTTATTTGTATTTTTGATATTTTTTCGATTCAATTTATTATTATTTTTATTTTTCTTTTGTATGGAGAAAAAATATTATAAAATTCAAAAATTTTAAAATGTATATATTACTTGATAATATATTAACATAAAATTGTTCTATAATACTGAGCTCATGTTTGGGCCCCATTTTAATTTAATGTATTTTTTTCTTCACTTTAAACAACACATTTTTCAATAAAATAATATGTACGGAAATTCAAAACTTTTTCTTACTTTTTAATCACACACTCTTCAAAAAAATTACTATTTTGAAATACATTCATTAAAATGGAGCACAAAAAAGGACTGAATAATCAAATTTCATGGAATAAACGTGATAAAACAATTTTTCAAAATTTCAAACCAAATGAGTTTTTTAATTTTCTATTTTGAAAAACAATTTTTTCAAAATGATGAACGAACGCAATTTTAACAATTTTAAAATTGATATTCAAAACAGAAATGCAAATCAAATGAGCCATTATAGCTTTGTTGGACTAAATATGAGTCTCATGAATGTAGTTAAGATTTTTGGGTGCGAGATTTCTATGATTGTAATTTTTTTTTCACATAATAGAATTTCTATCCTTTATGGCTTCTGATTTTTTTTTTTTTCCAAGTTTTAGATTGTTTTATATAAGTTCTTGTGTTCTCATTTGTGTTATTCTTTTCGAATTTTTATGTTTCAGTTATTCTTGATCTTTTTTGAAAGAGCGTCTTTGGGGATAATTTGAGTGAAATGGGCCCAAATTCCCAACTAGTGATATCAAGAGACAAAATCATTTTGGTGCATTGGAGATTGGTGCAATATGATACTTGTTTTGTATAAGTACTTATAAGTTGACAAAATATCATTTTTAATCACAAATTTTTTGGAATCTGAAATTTTTTAATCTACTTTTTAACTATACAATCCTTGAATCATGTTTCCTATAAGTACTTAAAAGTTTAACCAAGCAAGCAGAGGATATATGCCCGATTTGGGATGAATCTATCTAACGAGGCTACGATAAGTGAGACCATTGTAACTTGTGAGCCCTCAAATCTTTCTTGGAAACTTAGAAAGTATTATTCACACATATATTCACCAATCTGGGAGTGTGAAACAAAAATATCAATTATGAACACTGACATAAAGAAATTTGATAATTATTTAATGTTGATTTGCAGTAAGTACGAGTCAATGATTTGTAGATCCAAACTTTGAATCAGAAGATTGAACCCTATCTTTAACAAATCTTCTAGTGACTTTAGTAAGTCTGGTATGAGCGATGAAGATTGGAAAGGCCTAAATTTGAAAGACATTATAGGATACGTTCACAATTTTTGCGCAAGAGCTTTCGAAATAAGGAAAAAAAAAATCAAGAAGACAATTCAAATAAAGAGCACAACATTTAATCGACAAATCATCGCAATGCACACACTACCCTCGTTAAAACTGACATCAATTTTGTGGCCTTTTGGTATATCTGAATTCTGGATTATATGTGTGATTATGCATTTGTGTGGGTGTGTATAATGTACGGTGACTAAAACTTAAAACGAGTTCTTTCTGAGAAAGGCGGCGAATTTTTACCAATTGATATCCAAATATATCCACTAGTACATGAATGTATACAAAATTAAACATGCATATCCATGTATTTACGAGAACCTGTAGATTTAACCACGGAAGAAATCCAGAAAATGATCGGAGAGGATTGTCGGGTCGGCCTCGCACTTTGCAATGAATCGCTCCAGTAGTCGCACTCTTTCCAAACTATACAATTGCATTGAATTCTAAGTATTTGTGAAATGGGGGAAAAAATGTAGAATGTGAAGGTTTTATAGTAAGCAAATGATGTGGATCATGGTAAGTTCTGAAAAGATGGTAATAAGTATAATATTATTTGTATATAATAATCTGTGTAATAGTGTAAATAATGCGACATGGAAAAGGTAGAGGGAAAAATAACTGATTTTTTTTTCTCTCTTTTGGTGTCTTTTTTTTTTCTACTCTCTTCCATGTGACTATTATGTACATGTAGCATCATTCCGGTAAGAATCGACCATACTCGAAGGATCTTGCTACATATACATGAAAATTTACATAAGAGATTACATAGTGTCACGTGACATTCTATCATTTGTCAGTTCAAATTAATACAATCAACTTTTTTATTCAATATTTTTTGTCTACATCATTTTCGATAATCGCTTTTGTACAATTTTAATGTACAAGTACCAAAATCGGTACTCGAATACTCATTTCCGGGATGAGACCTATTTCCTTGAACTCAGATTAGGGATGTGTCTCATTTGAGTTTAAGGCTGTGTCTGGAGTCAATTCTTTGCCAGATTTTTATTGAAATTTCAACCGTTGTCAATATCTACAGTCGCAACAATTGACTATGGGTGAGAGGTGTGGGGGGCACTGTTTGAAAAAAAGGGCTATATTTTAAATGAAAATCTGAAGCAAAGTCACAACAGACACACCCTCAACATGTAGACATTAATTTCCGGCCCTATTATGTCATCAACAACAATCACGATCAGTTTAATGATACCCATACCACTTCTAGGTCAATATCGACGAGTATGCTAATAATTCATTTCATTTTTCAGTCTTGTCAACTTTTTTTATAGTTTGATCGCTTTAGATAGTTAGGCTAAACCACCCCCAACTTATTGCTCCAGTTGGAAAACAAAACCAAACATTTGTAACGAATTAGAAGAGACTAAACGAATTTCTCACCAAAGATTCATGATAAATTTACTATTTAAGCAACAGTTATGAAATTTACTATTGGAAAGAGTCGAAACATTTGTACATGAGTGGACCAACAAATAATGAAGAAAATTCAAAATGGTCCAAATGTATCATTTCATTCATAAGTACTTGTGCCTCCAACTCCGTCCCCTACGGCGGTTTCCACCACCATCGCTGCTACCGGCGGAGGCGATCTTCATCTGAACATTCTCAAATTCGGATTTCTTGCAAGGAATCTGGATCCCACCCGGATGATTGAACCCATAAATTTTCTCAGCCTCTCTCAGTAACTCACCAAACAATGGATGATTAAAGTACATCACTGGCACAAGAACTCTACAGGTGTCGTCTTTTTCATCACCCACGTAGACAGCCAAGTGCCCCTTGGGTACACTCACCGGATTCTTTGGCTCCACCGGTTCTTCCCCGACCCTAATGCAACCGGAATTATGTTTCCCAAAGCAAAGGCCTTTAGCTCCATTCTTCAAAGAGCAGCACCAGTTGTAGAGCTTTGAAATGGCCCTGGTGGCGCAGCCAGTTGCCGGCCGCTGGTAGGTGACTCTCCGACGCGTTCTCCGGTGAGTAAACCGTTTGAACACCTTGACCAGCCTAAAGCCGCTGGTTTTTTTCATAGTGGAGTGAAGTCGATGAAAATTCAAGAAAACAAAAGGGATTTATTTAAAAGACAGTCTTGAATGAGGTTGCTCTAATTTAAAGAACGTGCCAAGGACCATTAATTGACATGTCCTAAAATATGTTGTGTTGTTAAGTCAATCTATAAGTTTACTCACGACACTTTCACCTATGCAATTTCCAACGAAGTTTTCGAGAAATCCTTTTATAGACCGAATTCAGGGCTTCCTTATATAAAGAAGTGGTGGCTGTGGCTGTGGCTGTGGCTGTGAGAGATTTTTGGATTCTAACAAGGAGTGGAAATTTTTGATTCACCTGGTTAGGAGGGACTATTGGGTATGGTTTTATAGGATAGTGGAGGATCAACATATCACGTGGTTGAAGAATATGAGAGATGAAGTGGAGGTGGTCGGCATAACGGACACGGTTTAGAAGTCAAAACAAACCACTGAAGACTTTATTTTTTATTTTTAGGCAAAAAACAATTGAAGACTCGCCCGTTGAAAATTGTTAAATAAATAAATAAATAAATAAAAGCACGGATTTTTTTTTAAAAATATTAATTAAGATACACATTTATTTAAATTTTTATAAGTTTTTGATGTAAAAGTTAATTTTTATATTTTTAATGTCTGATTAATGTTTTTAAAATTGTTCTGAACATGTACCCAAAAGATGTAACGAATTAAGAGTAAAAAAAAAATCAAAAAAATAAATAAAAACAAAAAAATTATTTTCTTGTAAAAAGTAAACAAGCTAGTGGGAGGTACACAAGGTTTTTAAATTTATAGTTTTTGATATATAACTCTACTTATTATGAACTAATTCTTAATTTTTTCGATCGAAACTATCGGTGGGTCCCATCTTATATTGTTGTTCTTACTTTGAATAAATATAAGTGATAATCCTAATTGATTTAATAATTGTTACATGTTCCAATATAATTATTATATTACAACATTTAAAATTTTAAAACTTTTAAGGTCATAACATTTTTTAAAAAAAACAAAATTATCGTTAAGGAGACAAGATGTAAGGTAAGCATTAAGCTAAATGGAAGGTGGCCGCGGCTCTAGCAAGCCTCGTAGATTATTAATGATTAAGCTAAATGAAAGGTGGTGGTGCTCTAGCGAGCCTCGGAGGTCATTAACGAAATTCTAACGTGAAAACAAAATTGGGTAAAAACAGAAAATAAGATTTTTTTTTTTTATGCGAATGTGTTTTTTTTTTGAAAACAAAGAATCATAACTTAAATTATGTTAAGAGTAGATAAAATAAAATATTTCGTATTTCGTTGAAAATAATATTTAGATTTAAATAATTTAGCGACCTCGATTGTTTAAAACTCATTTTTTCAAACGTATTTCACGGAGTCCATAACTTTTATCAACTTTTTAAATACAAATTTTATCAAAACTTACTAAGCTATTGTTTGGTAACAATTCATTCAAAACTTTTTTTTTTCATACTCATTTTCAACCACACATTCCCATAATAAAATATTTTCATCCAAACCCAATTTTTTTTTCTACTTTTTAAATCACACATTCTCCAAAAGATTAGTATTCAAAAACCCATTCTAAAAAAAAAAAAATAGCCGTCAAACAGGGCCTAAATTTTTATTTTTTTTTAATCCAAACCAAACATGGAATTAGTATTTCTTTGTTTATAACAATAATGTAATTTATAAGCTCATAAAAAATATAAACTTTTCTTATCGAAATTTAAAATGAAAGGAAAATTTTGGTATCATTGACTTCTCCTATAATTTTTTTTCCATGATTTTTCGGATATATGTCATAATTCTATTTGTCAAGTGTAATGATCCCTCCTTATGGATGATGTAAGGACGAATAAAGTGTAATTTTGATAAGAGTGGCAAAGTATCAATATAGAGATTATACCTTCCGGTTTAGGGGAATAAAGAGGTATAAAAGTATCAATATAGAGATTATACCTTCCGGTTTATGGGGAATAAAGCATAGAATTTGTATTGATCTGGCTTGTGTAGACGTGTTGGTCCGGGCGAACCACCAAGCCTAAATGTAGTAATTAAAGGAAAAATTTTACGTCATCTGACTACTGAAATATAAATCAACATATAAGTGTTAGAGCTATTTTTCTTAATAAAATTAATATTTTATGATAGAACTCTAAAGTTCAATGTGGTAACAGAGCACATTAACTTCACATTTACTAATTATCGAAATATTGATCAACATATAAAATATAGTATTATTTTTCTTAACAATGTTGACATTTTAAGTTGAAATCACAAGTCTCGATAATTGTCACTGTTGGGGCAAACAAGTCCCACATCGATTGTGGGAAGAAAATAAATCCACCATATAACCCAAGTGAGCTACTCCACTCATTACCAATTGGTTTTGGGATGGAACCTCACTTGGGCCTGGTGGAGTGAGTTTGGGCATTGGGTAATTACTCTCAATAATTCCCTAACAGTCACTGCCCAGTAAAGGGGAACCATATCAGCTCATGTTTGACAAATATACTTTTCAAACTCTTTTTTCTATATATTCATTTTCAATCGCGTTCGCACAATAAAATATTATGTATGTAAATTTAAATTTTTTCCTACTTTTTAATTACATATCCACCTAAAAATCACCATTCAAAGTGATTTAAAAAAAAAAGGTATGATTATCAAACAGGGCTCAAGAGATTATACCTTCCGATATGGTGGAATAAAAAGGTAGAAAATGGGTTTGGCAGTGATGGGAGTATTGGACCATCAAAGATTGGGAATCTCTTGATGATGATCGACTATTCAATCAACCACACACGTGTCCTCAAATAACACAAATGTTTATCTCGTTTTGGAACCAAATTCTGGTCGACCTTCAATTCTTTGAAGAAACAACATTTAGAACCCGTTTGTTTCCCATTATTTTAAAACATTATTTGTTACAGTAAAATTTTCTACTATACATTCACCCAATAAAATATTTTACACACAAATTAATAAAGTTACTCTAAATTTCAACAACACATTCTCCAAAAAAAAAACTATTCATTACTCCACTTCTTCTACAATAATGGAAGATAAACACACTTAAAAAGTTTCCGAAAAAATTATCGTTCATCACTTCTACGGTGGAATCAATCGAGAGCCTGTATTAAATCGAACGAGTTTTCAAAGGTTGGATCAAATGCAACTTTATTTTTTTAAAGTTTGTAAACATGTTCTTGATGACGCGTTCTCTTGCGCACTCAAAAGGTGATTCAAAAGAACTACTTTGTGTACGGAATTGTGTCCGCAATGTTGTTCTTATCAATTCAAAAGGTGTAGTGTAAAATTGACACATCTCCTATATAGATTGTGTCAATATTACGAATAGAAGGAAAAATAATCAAAAGTAATCTGCAGATCAAATTAATATTTTAAATCTTTCTAAATAAGTAGTACAAATACTATCTATCTATAATCTATGGAAGGGACAGCACAAGACCATTTTATTGGTGGAATTGTTTGAGTTTGGTCGATAAAGGACACTTGTTCTACTCAACTTTGTATTAATTTATTGAAATTAAGTTATTATAGTTTCAAGAGGAGTAGATTATATTAGTATCGAAGGTGACTCAAAATTCCACTTTCAAAACGTTTCACTTTCGGAAAGTGGTGGTTTCTATTAATGGTGAGTCGGTGACAACACAAAAGCCAATTTCAAACAAATATCAAGTGACTTGAAAATAAAATTGCTTCACCAATAACACAAACATGAACCCAAAATATTACTCGAACTCTAGTGAATACACTAAAAAACTTTCTCACAATTTTTATCAAGTCGTCAAAACAATGATTGATGGTTTGGTAGGATGCAACAAATACTGGGCCGTCCAAATATTTTCTAAATTATTGTCTATTGTACTATCATACTGTTTAGTTCTATCAAATAGTGCTTAATCACATATAAAATGTCGTACAAAAGCAAAAAGATTCATCCTTTTTAGTCGGCATTTCTATCCAACTCACTTTCATCTACAATTCAATCTGACAAGGATAATAAAACCTTCGACTAGGATGCATAAGAAGTCTTGGTCACACTTGTTGTATACTCTTGAGGACAATAAGAATAAAGAATGATTCGATGACTCCTCCGTATATAGGATTGAACTCTACTTCCCGATAGGAAACCTTGATCTTGGGTAACATATATGGGCAGATCTACAATGGGGGCAGTGGGGTCACCTGCCCCCATACAAAACTTTAAATCCAAAATTTTGCACCACATTTTTCAAGTTTTTACACAATTTTCTAAAAATTCCTTAATAGTTTTCAATTTTGCCCCCACAACTCTAAAATTATAGTTCTGTCCCTAGCAACATAAGTGAGGCTTCTTCTGGAGAGCAGCAGGTGAATTGGCCAAGTGGATGCTCTGCTCCTGCTCCTGCTCCTTTGCCACCCCCTTCTATTCCATGACCTTCTTTCCCGACATCCTGTTCAATTTTTCAACAATGATCAAGAAATGACTGAATGAAATTGTAAAAGAGATAAGTTGCTAAATGAAGTAGAAAATCTTACTTTATCAATCTTCTTGATGGCCTTATGAGCGTTCGTGGTCGAATTTCTGTCATATCTATCCGGCTTATTTCACTTCCTCTTGTATTCTAATGTTGAATCCTTACGAAAGTTTAAAGAAGGCCAAAACTCGTAAAAATTGATTTTGACGAAAGAAATTTTCAAAAAATAACACAAGCAATCACGATTTCTCCTAAGTCATGTCCATTCGATGTACGCATTTTCAAGCCTTGGAAAATAGGATAAATAACGCATTAAGAGTTTGTATTCCATAGAGAAATCGTATGATCTGTCTTGTTAAAATCCAAAGGCCGTAAAAATGGAAATTTTAAGTACGGAAAAATAAAGATGCCGTAAATTACTCTACCTTTGCATCATTTCCAACAAACTGAATACTATAAAAGAACAGACCCCGCACTTCTCCAACATTACTGGGGATTTATGTCACACAAGTCACAA